AATAATAATAATAATAATAATAATAATAATAATAATAATAATAATAATAATAATAATAATAGTTATAATTATTATATAATAGTAATAGTAACGGCATTAGGACGCAGTAATAATTTCTGACCGAAAAAAAGGAATACAAGTTACGGGTTCTTTCTTTTTCTTCTCTCTTTATATATATATATATATAAAACAAAGAATCAAAGGGGAGGGGGGGGGGAGGAAAGAAAACAAAACGAAGAAATTTACAACAATATCGCAAGTTAACAACAATATCAGTTACTTGTTTCCCCGCTCGAAATATCGATTTTTCAAAGCCGGTCCGCTTGAGTGTATGTATAATTCAAGATCCGAAGCATAACGAGCTCCAAACGAAGTCGGTTGTTTGGGCAATCGTGAAATCGGGTTGCGCAGGTCTCTTTACAGATAAGATTAAAGATATTATACTATCTCGGTTATGAAATGGCCCTGCTGCTCTATCGTTCATGTACAGTTTTACAATCGATATACCGAAATCGGAAATCGAGACCGAAAGGAGAATTTATGTACAATACACTGCGTGAGAGTAACAACCATAACAACCATACCTTCGTCTTCGAATCGCGATTTCGATCGATTTGTTGTTTCGTAAGACTCGATTCGAGGATCTTAATTATGGGCTGGAATCGAAGGGCTTGAAGAAAGATCGATATACACAGAATATTCCTTACTTCTCTTCTTAAGAGGACGTAATAATTCTCTTTGCATTCGTTGAGCATAGATTTTGACTATGTCTTGACGATTAAATAAAAAAAAAAAAAGAAAATTTCATAAATTAAACGTTGTATCCACGAAAGCTTTCATTTAGTTCCTTCTTTTCTCTATATAATAATCTTCTTCTTATCCTCGAAGACTGTGTTTTAACGCAATTTCGAATGGATGACGGCTTCCAAGGATTATAATTGCGGACGTAAATTTTCAACAGTACGATTTTTTTTCTATAAAAAGTAATCAGAAAGAAACAGGGAAGAAGAAACAAGAAAAATAAAATAAATCCTCAACGATCTCTTCGAGAAACACGAAACGTGAAAGGAAAAACAGGCTACTCGCACCACGTTCTCCAAACCCTTCGACGCCTCTCGCTCGACAATCGGCCCCAAAAAGCACGTGTTTTCCAGCGACTAATCGTAGCGACTTCCTAGGTAGCAACGACGCGCGACCATCGTTCGTCGAATAACGCATCGCCATCTCTTTCCCTCCAAATTTTAATTTCTCTCTCTCTCTCTCTTCCTCTCTCTCTCTCTCTCTCTCTCTCTCTCTCTCTCTCTCTCTCTCTCCCCGTTCTTTCATTTTTTGTTTTTCCTTATTTTCCGGACGGTGGAACTCACCTTGACAGAGCAAGGCCCGGCGCTACTCGCGTACCGCTTTGTTCGTCAGCGTCGGGACGCCCTGCGCCGCGTCGATCGTTCAGCTGTCGACGCTGAAAAGCTCTTTGTGAAGGGCCGGGAACTCGAGGTGCGGCTGGGACCGTTTGAACTTCGCCAGGGCGTCCATGTGCAACAGGGAGATCTCGCGGAGCTGTGGTATCTTGGCAAGGATCGCGTCGCACACCGTCACGTCGCCCTTTATGGGCGACACGTGGTTACGATCCAGCTCCGACCTGAGCGCCCTGATCACCGCCTGGGACAGTCTCGTGATTTCCGCGAGCCCTTTCAACCCCGGCCGATCTGAAAATGTTATTTTTGGAAATTGTTTATTTCTTCTACCACATCCGGATTAAAGAATCAGAAAACATGTGTATCCTGATGTTCGATCAGGATCCAATTGTTGCCACATTGTACTGTAAAAAAATATCATATGTGAATTTCGTTTTTTATTAAGCGATTTTTGTAAAATTTGTCAGGAATTGAACACTGATAACACGATGATATAGAAGTTTAAGTTAAATTTGAATATTTAAAAGTAACGATTTTTGTCAACGTTTTTCCAAGAAGATGAATGAAATTGAATAAATAAATATAATAAAATTAATTAATCATCTTGAATCAAATGCGACTCGAACTCGTTTGAAAAAAGTCTCAAACTCATAATTTTATTAATTATAACCGGTTGACAATGTGTTGATCAATTTTAAATGCAATTTATTAATTTGATTTTCCAAAATTAAATCGTTTGTATTCTTTATTCTATCGTCAGTGATCTAGAATGATTGTTTCTCGAGCTATGCAAAGCTTAAAATCACAGAAATTGTTTACTACGTCTCCGTCTTATATTTCGTCTTCGTTTCTTTTGTCGAGTTGTTGTTGGTCGTGAGGAGGAGGGATAGAAGGGGGAAACGAGATGCTTCCGTCGAACGAGTATTTATAAGCGACGATTAATTTTGTGGAGGAGAGTTGTGACGAAATGGGACGAATTAAGCAGGCTGGGGATAATTAGGGGACCGTGTTCCTGGATAATTTTAGAGAGTGAATCAGGGGCAAAGAGAAGAATGCCGGGAACTTGATATCGTGGTATTTATATATACAGTAGTGTCGAATAATTTAAACATAGGGATAATCATTTTCTGATCGATCAATGACGTTTTACTTTTTACGATTTTCTATGCATTTCTTTGCTCGATGATTATTTTGAAACTTGAATTTTAGATTTTCTCTGATTGAACACTGCGATTAATTAATCGCGATGATTTTAATATCATCCTCTTTGCAGTTATCGAATCGATTATCGTTGAAGATACTCGACTTTGAAATGAATAAATTCTTTTGACTTTAAAGAGACACGAAAGCATCAAAGATCGCATAATTGCATTTATTCAGCTTAACGAGACGCCACTATTTGTTCTCCATTTTTTTTTCTTTTTTTGTTTTTTATATATGAAAAGAATCCCGTGATGTATTCCGATCGATCACTGTAAAAAAAAGAGATACTACCATGATACCTTTTGATTAACGACGAGTGGTGATATTTTCAAAGTGTTATACGATTGAAAAGAAAACGGTTTTTTTTTTTTTTAAGAGATAATTAGAAGACTTTCGAAAGCTTAACTAACCGGGGCTAAGGAGAACCGCTGCACTGTAAAGAGCCAGCTCTGTTTCCGTAAGCTTCAATTCGGCAATACTCCTGGCCAACTCAAACACGCAAGAGACAAGCTTCATTTCCGCCGTATCTGTCGTGTAAAACGCGTCCTGAGGCAACATAGTGTCACCATAGAGGACACAGTTCTGCTGGAGATCGAGGTACCTGCTCATACGTAGCACAGCCAACTCGAAGGAACCTGAAAGCATCGAGTATTAGCGTACAGTGATCCGTATCTATCGTAATAAATAAAAAAATAGTTTGGCAATTTTATTTTCTAAAATTGATCCGCTCGTATTTCCTCGACAAAGCAACGAAAGATCGTCTGTATTGAATTTATATGGCAAATGGTTGTAAAAGAAATTGAAATTCTTGTTAACAATGCTCAATGATTACGCGCGTGGAATTAGACTTTTATCTGCCCGCTTGTTGCAATTTTTCTTCCTTCCAAGATAAGACGCACGACTACGCGAATATTTATTTAGCTCGAATAATAATATAATAATAATATTTTGCTTTGACAATATTTTTTAATAACGTATGCGCGATTTACATTTGCATTTACCAAATTTCTCTTCGTTTCCCTGTATATAAAACCATTTTCCTTTTCTGTTGAGAATAATTGATTTCTCTTAAATTAATATCATAAAATCTAGTTGTTAATAATAACGATAACAAAACAAATAAACAAATTTGATTTATAAAACTAGGTAATTTTTGATAAAAAAATATTAAAAAATGGAAATCAGACGTCTCAGTCTTCCAAAGAAGATAACTAAATTCAGATCACACTTACCAGCCTTTAATAGAACAATCTGGTCGTCCTGCGAGAGCTTCATGAATCCAGGAACCATCTTGGCGAACTCGATGATCTGCTGGATAACGGTGGTTAGTTTTTGGGCACACTCGAGCCAGAGCTGCTCGTGCGCCATGTTCTTGTAGTAGATCAATCTGGAGAGGTCGTGCGGCTTCCGGAAAGATTCCTGGATCTGTTCCGTCGACAGCAGACACGTTCTTGCGTGTGCATCCGCTATCGTTTTTGAGAGCAGCTCGCTGATCTGTGCCGGATCTACGAAAATTCATCGGAGAGACGGGTTGAAATCTCGCTCTTTAAAAAGTACACGTTTTCATCGAGCATAATCGAAATGAATATCCAACAATCATATTCTACGTATCAAAAAGACTATTACGTTAAACAAGATATATATTTATTTATATATAAAACACACAGAAAAATTGTCAATTTTTTAAGAACACGTATAACATGAATAATCGAATATACATATGTATAATATATTAAGCGACAAAAATCGATTAAAAGAAGAAAAAAATTCTAAATTTGATTAGTCAATTTTTTTTTTTTTTTTTTTAATGACGCGATTTATGCAATACTATACTTTTACTTAAGTTAGAATGCAATGATTCGAAATGAGAGAGCACGTTTTCCAGGTTAAGATCACGAGAGCCAATCCAGGCGGTCGAAACTTAGGATCTGGTCGGTTGTAGATCTCTATAATTACCGCACTTTCAAACTACATTATCGCCACAGTTTACCAGACCCATTTCACTTTGGCTCTCAAGACCGGGAACTTTAAACAATTCCAGCGCTTTGACGCGAATCGCCACCGAGAAATTCAAACCCTTTCATTCAATCTCCTCTCGGATCAACCGGTCACCCTTTATCCTCGTTTCCTTAATTATGGGAATACCGATCAAATGCATCCTGCTATTTACCTCGACGGAGTTTCGTTATAATTTATTAGGTTTAATTATAGGATGTTTAAACTTCCAATAAAACGATGCATTCTAACCTAATATACCAGAAAACTTCTTCACGAGTATGGATATCACAGATAACTTTATATCTCGACCAAATTTCTCTTCAAATTCACCTCTCTCCCGTTCAGAAACACAGAAAAAACGTACTCTCCCATCGACGACGAAAAAGAAGAAGAAGAAGAAGAATAAGAAAAAGAAAAAAATACAATATACAAAATAAAAAACACCGATCGGTTTAATTCACCGAGCCGAGAAAAAAAAAAGTCAGAATATCTCAAACCGTAACAAAAAGAGAAAAAAAAAAAAAAGAAAGAAAAGAAAAAGAAAAAGGAAAAGAAAAAAGAGAAACGAAAGAAAAAAAGCACGACACATGCCCATGCAAAGGGACACAAACGTAACCTCACATCTCGCATGGGACATACTGGGCAGACTCGGCACTTCGTCGTCCTCGGATGG